TGAGGTCTTTTCCAACCTTACTGATTCTACGATTCTATGTGTTTTCACACACCAAATCAGCACAATAATTTGTGCCTTGCACTAAGCCTTAGAGCTGGTATTGTAGTTAACTATGATAATAGTGCTCCATGTCAACAAATCCACAATTTTAAAATCACCTCAGTTTCTTTGTTTGAGTTCTACTCCTATGTGACCCTGAACAATCCCTTTTAAATTAAGTAATTTTAAATTCAAAGAAACTTCTTGATAAAAACGTTTCAACTCCTACTTCAATCAGGATAATCTCGCATTTTTTTGATGTTGCTAACATATCAAACACTTTTATGGTTAGTTTCTTAGGATTATCTGGAATGCTTTTATTTGAGCAATGCTCTTTACGCCTTCTAGGTATCCTAAAAGCACTCTGCATACATATCTTACCAGATTTTCAAGTCTAAACTACATAGGGCGTGGCCAAGAAGTCTTTTGTTAACACTAGCTGAGCCAGGCAAAACCACAAGCAGTTTGGGAAGCAGTGGCACTCACGAAGCTTGTTTTTCACTGGTTGTCTCTTACATGGATGTTTCCCGCCCCCCCCCCTCACAGAACAGATGAGCATATTGATCTTCTTCTCATATGGGACCTTGTAAGGTCTCTTCTCCCCTAACCAATCATTTTCAAGGCATTTATAATTTTTAAGATAATTTGCCTGTCTTGGCTAAAACTGGAAAGATGTTCAAAGACAACTAGAAAGCAACATCACAGTAAGTTTCCTGGGGAAAACCAACCCAGTTGGTTTAGTGCCTGAGGGTAATTCTGCAGAAGGTTTTGAAGTCCAAAGAGGACTCTGCCTTTGAGGACTTTGATGTACTCTTAACTGGCTAAAAATATTTAACCAATTAAGGTGATTCAGTTTTTGAAGAGATGTAAAGGAAGGAAAAAAAACAAGGGCAGGTTTTCTCACCAGAAATGAACTGAGTGCTAAATGCTGATACACAAAACCTATTTTATTACCTAAAAAGATAACAGGAATCTCATCTTGCTCACTGAGAGAAAAATGAATGCCTGACTCAAAGGTTAGGTTGTATATCAGAACTGATTTACAAAGCAAAAGGCTAAGCTGACATAGGTACAATACAATAACAAGACAACTGCTATACAATTTAAATCAAGAATACTGTTGATCATTACTGTACTGCTTATGAGATATACAGTGAAGAAGGAGGTGAACCAAACAAAAATTGGCATGTTAGAGAGGATAGATCTTCATACCTTCCTTTAGCAGAAGGTTTCAGGGCAACTGCTCTATCCTGTTTATGTCAATCTACATAGAGATAAGGAAACGTTTCATTTTAGTCAGCATTACTTTTTTTTTTCAAATGCCTGTCACTTTATGCAATAGTTTTATTGTCATTGGCCAAAATGAAATGTAGGGAATAGGCATAGATGTCCCAGTTGAACAGATGGGAAAACAAAGCATTGTGAGACTACAAGTTCAGAAGTTAAATAGGTTAGAAATCTTAATGACCACTCAAACCACTGACAACCATGGCAGGATCTTTAGAAAAAGACAGAAACAAACTGACAGCGCAGTTACTTCCCAAAGTGTAACACGGTCTCAAAGATACAGGATTGCTCTTCAAAACTGAAGCTTAAAGTTGTTTTTGGTTAAGCCTTACCCTTCTTTGTCATTAGCTCAGATTTCTCTTGGATACAACTCCCCATTGATTAATATAGTCAAGTAACTAAGTAATTTTCCTCTGGTATTAAAAGCTTATCTTTACTAGAGTCGTCCTGTATTCTGGCTAGTGAAATGATACTGTTATTGTTTTGGACTCAGTGAAGCCTCATCAGTATTTTTAGGCCCTGGTATTCTGGCAGACTACAGCTGGGAGGCTCACAAGCGAAAGGGGCTTTTGCTTCACTGGGCTACTACATCGACTAATATGAGAGAATTTTTGACTGCAATAGCAAAAAAACCTGCAACTTTAACTAGAACTTAAAGCTCGACCAAAAATCTCAGGCTTGTAGAGTTACGAAGTACCTTCATTAAAAAAGAAAAGTGAACAACGTCTAGGAATTTAAAAGGTGGAGCATCTCATGGTTCAGGGGCTTTTTGGTTTTGTCTTTTGTTGGGTTTTTTTGGTGTTTTTTAACTATTTCAAGTGAACAGAAAAGACACTTCAGTAAAAGACAGTGTAACTAAAATTGAACTTACCTGCTTTGCATTTTTCCTGCACTAACAATATTGTCCATCTAGTCTTTAGAGCTTTGTTAAATTTCATTTGCAGAAACATTTAAATATGTATTATTAAACTTTTCCTCAACTGTGAGCTACTGGACTGCAAGGAATAGTCCATTTCCAGTTCAGCTGGAAAATCTTTACATGATGTTTTGTACTAAGATCTAAAACATGTTTTATAAATATAGGCCTGGATTATGGCAAGTAACCAAATCAGTATAATGGCAAAAATTCTGCAAAACTGTAACAGAGAGCATCAAATCTCTTGAAAAACTGACTATGCCATATAACGTTCTTGATGCACAGAATGTCAAAATCAGTCTTAGGCATTTCTGGGGCTGGAATTCAGAGGCAATCTGGCATCTCACCTGTCAACCTGGAACAGGAACACCGGATTCTTATCTGTGGATTTATTCACTAGTACAAAAAAGAACAGTACAGACAGAACTCGGGTAACATTAGCACTTCTCAGTACTGTTTGTAACTTCAGGAAAAAGTCTTATTGTGCAAGATGTTCTGAAAGCTTTTTCTGAGGCTTGGATTAAAAACTGGCATTTTCCATGGACACAGAAGTAATTTTTTTTCAGTATGTAAAGATGATACACACTGATAATTATTACCTCACAGCAATGTCACATTTTACCACAATTTCAGGCTTAGATCCAGAAGTCTTTAATAAATTCTCAGACTCAGTACCACTATATTTAAGGACCTTAATACGGCTGTTCTGAGTGACCATGATGCTCAAAGTTTTCAAAGGTCTGAGAGAAAAGAGCATGAAATCTATCAAGGAGTCCTACAAATTTTAGGGCAACATCAGACCCGCTATTTTTCTAATCTGTACTACAGGACTGAACTACTGAATGTGCTGCAATTTATGGAAATAATTTCATGCCACTCTTTAAATTTTCATCAGGAAAAAAAAACAAGTCAAATTTCACCTGCCTACAGCTGAACAAAACAGCCATCAAATGAGCAACAGAGATGGACAATAAAGGGGTTAGCATCTCACAGCAGAGTCACTGAGAGGTAGCTCATAACTGAGAAGTGCAGAACTGTATTTAAGAAACTAACAAGACACAAATTTACATCTACCCCATGCCATGGGAATCCCTTAGGAAAATATTTCAGAGAAATAACCTGTGATAGCTCGGAATATAATGGTCTCCTTGTTGAATGTAGTGCTGAATGCAAACTGTAGACATTTTGAGACTCCAGAGGAGTGCAGCTGAAAGGGTTTTTGATGGGTCAGCATCTCAGCTGCATTAATTGTATAAGGGTTTGTTTTTTTTTTTCCCCTTGAAATAAATGGCTGAACAAACGAAGACTTGTCAGACAAAGGGACTCAGACTGAGTATTTCATAAGCAGCCCTGTAAGTTAAACTCATTTTCCAAAGAGGCTGGAATGCAGTATCTCATCATAATTAAATGTAATGAAAATAAATCAAGGGGTTTTTTGTTTGAAAACACAATCTTCTCATATAACATCAGTATCAATTTGGCCCTTTTAGATTTTACAAAAAAAACCTGGCAGTTACATTTACCTTTGATTAAAAGTCTTACAGACAATTCTAGTTTTAGAGATAGCTATAATTAGTACAGAGAAATCATCACTTTTTCCTACAAAATTTTATTTCTGAATTATATTAGCAACAGCTATTTGTAGGAAAAAACAGCTTCTCCAACATTTGCAAGGCTAGGCTTGAGTCCTCCCCTCTCACCATCACAATGGAATGCATCTTGCCAAAGTCTTAAAAATGTAACAACTTTAGTGAATGGATATAAACTTCTCATGCTTCATGCCCCAAAACGGAGGGCCAAAGAGTTCCCTGGAACAGTGGCAGTGTTTTAAAATACTTATCCCTATACAAGTGATTATTTGGCACTAGAGTTTTTCAAAAAGAAAAAGCTAAAAGTAACCTTTCACCAGTTACACGTTTTCTTCTTGACCAATACACCTCAACCCTGATCAAAGTCATTACATGGGACCCAACTGATCACCAAGCAGATCTAATTTTTCAAAGGCACTCAAACACCAGAACCTGCTCAGCAAATTCTGTGTGAACAGCTTTACTCATGTGTGTGTAGACATACACACGCACGCACACGTACCACCTATGCAGAAGATGGAGATATATGAAAACGGAAGCAAAAGCAGAAATGCATCAATATGCGGAGGCATACCCAAACCCAGTCCACTGACTGGTACTCCATGGGTCCCCACAGCCTCTCCCTCAAGCTGTGCATCCTCAGATAAGATGGAATTTGAGAAAGGTCCAAACTGTTTACAAGCGCATTCAAAAGCACAAAAAGGAAAATATATTTCACATCTCCAATAGCTACTACAATTTCTGCACTCAGCTCCGCAATTCCGGGTTGATGTGGAGATTCTGTGGGAAGATACCTGCTTTCCAGGCATAGGTCCTGTATGCTCAACACACCGAAAGGTAGGAATCTTCTGTTCAAAAAGAAGAAACTTTAAATCTGGCAAGAGATCAAGAGGTATAAAGCATACTTCAAGACAACTATGAAACGCTAGACAGGACCACAGCACAAATAAGCAAAATTAACTTTTAGATTTCCAAATCAGTTGTACCATTCAACCAACTCCTAGGCATACTGCAAAAAAGAACAAAATACAAGGTCAACTAAATTTAAATGTTAACTATGTATTCCAGAAGAGTTCTGCTTACCTGCATTAGTACTGAGCTGGCTATCCTGGGAACAGTTTTCATTGCTGTCAGAGGTTGACTGCAGTGAAGATGATGGTGTAGTTCTACTTCGTTTTTTGTTAGCTTTCTTTTCTGCTACCTGCCACTCTTCATCTTCATCCTCACTTTCACTCAAGTCATCAAACCCAAAGTATTTGATTTTGTAATTGGAACTCCCAGAACTTCTAGAGGCACCTTCATCTCCCCCTCCCTCATCTTGATCATCAAACCCAAAAAACTCTAATTTGACATCCTTTTTGGATTTGGTATTGCTTGGTCGAAACCTGGTTGTAGTTTTTGTAGTAGCGATGTCTGCTTTTTTTCTTAAGCGACCAGCTTCTCCCAAGTCAGTAGGGGCTGCTGTGGTAAATTCATCAATTCGTTCCATGGTATCCTGTATAGTAACATTACAAACTGACAAGCAAGATGGATGTAGAACAGTGTAGTCTCTAGTCCGTCCAACTGTCCCTCTAAAACTGGTCCCACTACTTAAAGCAACTTTTCTTGCTGGGTTCAGACCATCATTATTTGACTCATTGTTTGCTTTGGATAAAGACTGACTAGTGCCATCCATTAGCTTGTCAAAACTGGTTGCCCCCTGCGCTTTTGCTTTGTTGGACCGACAATATGTCCTACAGTTGCTTGGCCTAGGAATAGTTTGGACAAGTTCTTCACTAATGGCTTCCTTTGGATTTTCACTATCTTCTTTATCACACTCCTCATCCTTGCTCTTCATCTCTGAGAGATGTTCATTGTCAATATCTAATACATACTCTCCAGTTCTGGTGTCTTCAGTTTCATCCTCCCATTCATACAAGTGAGTTCTTAATGGCCCCTTCGTCTGAGATGTTTCTGATGGAGAGTCTGCTGATTTTGCCACGTGGGAGTCCCAAGAATCAGGCAAGTCCTTGGCTTCTATGTTGCATCCAGCAGGGTCTGTAGTTTCAGCATTGGTTTTGTTACTGTCTTCAGCATTCTCATAGATGAAATGACTGTTCTCATTATCTTCATTCAAATTCTGTATTTTATCTACAAGAAAAGACAAATTTATTACTAAAAAGCATTATTAAAAAAATAATCACCCTTGTGGACAACTTTGAAAAGTCACAATATAATGGCAAACATTCAGTGTTCAATGACAAACAACATTAAAGAGGTCCTTATCCCCCACGTTTGTACGTTTTACGCCTTCCAGTTTACATTTTTTTGCTATAACATCTTCTCACCATTTCTAGCAAAAATACACACTTATTTGAAAATAAGCTTCACTCTGAAAACATGTACATCAAGAAAAAACCGTAAACCCCAAATACAACCACTTATTTATCTACAACCTACTGTACCTTCTTGTACACAGGTTATGAGCATTGTATTTTATTCTTATGTAAACATACCCCCCATCCTTGTTTACACCAAGCTATTGCAAATGGACTAGTGTTTCAAAGGAACGTTTTGCGATACAGATTTTTAGTGGTCAATTTCCTTCAGATGCCCTACTTTAAGCACATTTCACTTTTGCATGGAACTTGAACAGGTAATATTGGAACCACAAAACGTATGAAACAATTAATTAGATAAGTTTGCATATATTCATTTTTAATACTACAAGACGCATTATTTTAGCCTACTGTAGTCAGGAAAGGGGATGTATGGGCAGGTTACAGCTGCTCATTCAGATATTCCTGGTCTAAGAACTAGATCGCAGACAGGCATCATCACAGTAGAAATTAAACCCACTAACAGAACCTAGTGATGAAGTTCAGTAAACTTCCCGACAATTATCCAATAATTCACTGCCTAACACACTAACTGTACAAGTTACTAAAACCTGCTAAAGTAATCCACTAGCATATCTGTACTAGAAGTGCTGTTACAAACTGTATCGTAAATTCTGATCAATGTACCCTGAACAGAATGGCACACAACTTCAGCAACTGTTATTTTATTTTGCTGTTTCAAATTAAAATATTTGGACTTCCAGAAGAAATAGAGAAAATTCAATTCTCATCACAATTTTAAATGAAGTAACTTCTGAAATGCAGGTTTTTACAATGAACTTCTACAGGTCTAAAGAAGAGCTGCTAATAAAAGTTAGTCTTGCACTTCTCCAACCCATAGCTGCACTTGCATCTGATGCTGTCAAAGAGAACAAATTCCACTGTAAGAAACCAACTTTTCTAAGATTTGTTTCCAGTCGACCAGAATGCACACAATAGTAACACCAAGAAAGACAGTACTAAGTCTTTCACTTGTTGTCCTCTAAACTGGCAGGGAAACCGCTCCCTTTGGTTTCCCTGAATACCAACAAGAGCTCAGTGCATCTAGCACCAGAATTTACTCTGCTGTTGCACCCCACACACAAAGATAGCCAGAAATACAAGCGTGCTATTTCCTGGAAACAAGACAACCAGAAATTTCTTTGAAATTTCTGAGACAGTATAACCAAACACTTGGTAGGAACCAAAGTGTCTACCATTACTATCAACGCTTACTGTACTGGCTGCTGGGCCAGGAGAAGCCAGATAAGTCTGACTGGAATGCAGAAGACTGATGAATAGAACAGTAGCACATCATGAGATAAACTGGAGAAACAGAAGCACCTGGGACAGGGACAAGTAGAAAAAAAAATGCTAGAAAATAACATACTTAAAAGACACAGGTGCAGAATGCTACAATAATAAAAGAGGCTCCACTGGCAGAATGCAACCACTAAGGTTCAAATTTATTAGGTAACAAACGCTTCCCAAACTCCTCAGTAAAATGAAAGCTTTAGCATCCTTTAGCACTGGTCCTGACTGCATTAAACTTCATCAGCTGCCATCTACCCAAGCGGCACAGAAGTTTCATAGCACTGACCAAAAGGTTTCAACTTTCCTGATGAGGAAAGTGAGAATCAGTACCATTCCAGTCTTTTGTTTATTTGCTTTCAAATGTGAATGGCATCATCTAAACGCCATCCTTGCACATACAGTTCATAAAAGAACTTTAAGGTGCAAGCAGAAAATTCTAGTAAAATAAATTACTACCAAGTCAAGTTTTGGAGGAAATTGGTTTAATCCTAGCTCAAATTCCTCAGGGAGACATGACAAGTAATATCTCCCAAACTGCATCTAAATTTTCAGGGAGTCCAGCCGAGATGTCTCACAGAAGTTGATATACACAGCTAGAAATAAAAAAGCTCTTCACGAAATATATGAAACGCAAAACTAAAGTCCCTAAAGAATATCAGTCCTAGCCATCCCAATGACGGACTCTTGTTTAATCTTTTTCAATATCAATACATTATACAAGAAAACTTGTTATTCCCATTTCAGTCTCATGCTTGTGATGATCTAAGATGTCCAACCAAGACTAATCTTTCTGTAATCAAAGAGTGAGTTTGACAGTGTACAATATGTTCCTTTTTCCTCCCATATGTTTAATATTATTGAGCAACTGAAGACTACTATAATACTTAGGCATGAAAGCCAGCAAATTAAATTCAAAAAATGTTCAGACTTTCTCACTAAAATAGACTATTTTGCAGCCTCACCAGTACTGTTTTATATCTGAGTGCATATTTACTTGAATTAATAAAGTCTAAGCAACATTGAAAAGGAGTACATTCAAAACATGCCTGTCTTGGCTTACTAAACAATACTTTACTGAATCACTAGGAAGAAGTTTCAGTATGCATATCTGAAAGGGAATGGTTTTCCCACCCCAAGGAAGTCTGGGATTTTAAAGAGACACATTTCATACCAGGACCAAATCAAATCTCATCTTCCCAGATGAAGGAAGGAATAGAACACATGTGTGTGTATGCACATTACAACCCAAGAGCCAAATCATTCAGGAAACTGTTCTGAGATTTAAAAAGCTGAAATCTAATTTTACATTGTCTTAAAGCTTAAATCATCATCTCAGCTACAGTCTGTACTTTAAAGCAGAAAAGATGATCAACACATCAAGCCTGGAAAACAGGATGAAGAGGTCAAAGATACGTAAAGAGATGGATATACATGTATATCTATATATAGAAAGAGAGCTCATACACATGAGTAGTACTGACAAAAAATTAATGGAAAAAGTTACCAAGGAATCAGTCTCCAAAAAAAGTTAATCAACTACTCTGAAGAAGTGTTGTTTTGTGTCTTGTGTGTTAGGTTTGTGTTTTTTTTTTTTTTACACTCTGTTCCTAGCACATCACAGAAATCATGACTACCCTATAGTACACACTTTAACAAATGGTCTTTTATAACTCCAGATTTTTTAATATGCAAAAAGCAAAGACATTAATGAAGTGTATATTTAAGTCTTTTACTACTCACTGAATTCTTCTGTTTATTTATCAGTTCTGAAGCAGCATTTAGCATTTGAAACCACTTTTTCAGTCCCTTGCCAAGAATCTACTCTGTCAATAACCAAAAGCCAAAGCCATCCTCCACCAGGTCTTTGTAAGAAAGATGACCCTTTTGACACATCAACTATGGTGCTGCTTTTATTTTAAAAAGTTGCATGTATTAGATAATTCACCAAGTAATACTGAATCCAAACAGGTAACTAAAATTCACTCTTAATGAAAATACTAATTCTGATGATGTAGTTACATACACTAAAAAACAAATTGTTCTAGAATATTTTAGAATGCACTAAAATTAGCCTAATATTTGTAGTACTCTGTGCAGGCAACACATTCCCGTCTAGCCTGTGACCTATTAAGGGAACAAAACTTTCTACTCTCTTATTGCAGCAGCTTCATTTGGACAAAGTGAAGCATCAGTTGAGAAATGCATCATGACAAGAACAATCCTTCTTCACATCTGTTTTCTCCATTTTGGTTTTTGTGCACTTGCTGCACTGAGGTTGTTACATTTTTTTCTTTCCAGAGTGGCTCTTACTCTCATCTCCAATTTCACACTTATCCAACCTGCCTGCTCTTCTTGTGCTCATTCCCAACAGTCCCAAGTACAAAACTGAGCAAAGTGAGCTAGCTCTTAATTCCTCAATGCCAGTCTCCCACGCCTGTGAGAGAAACACCAAAACCACTGTCCTGGGTCCAGCTGGGATAGGGTTAATCCTTCACAGAAGCTGGGAGGTGGGCATAGCCAAAGGGATATGTCCTGGGTCCAGCTGGGATAGGGTTAATCCTTCACAGAAGCTGGGAGGTGGGCACAGCCAAAGGGATATGTCCTGGGTCCAGCTGGGATAGGGTTAATCCTTCACAGAAGCTGGGAGGTGGGCATAGCCAAAGGGCTATTCGATACCATGCTAAGGTCATGCCCGGGATATAAGGGGAAGCTAGCCAGGAGAGGGGTCTCTTTTGTGAAGCTCGTGGTGGTGAGAATTTCACTGTATCACTGTTTCCATTGTATTCTATATCTTGCCTTATTGTCATTTCTCCTTTCCTTTGTTTTCCTCATGTGGTATTATTAAAAAATCTGTCGTTATCTCAACTCATGAGGTTCCACTTTTTCTTCTCCTTTCCCATCTCACTGGGAGGGGAGGTGGAGGGGAAGCCGGGGAGGTTGCCACTACGTGGTGGTGGTACTGACCCAAGATAACCACACAAGGCATTAGTACACCTGCATATTAGTAAAATTTGACCAGACTAGGTTACGGCAGTAGCCCCATACATCCAGTCCTTCCAGCCTTGAGCTCCTTGTTTCTCTTCATCTGTAAAGGTGAGTTCTCTAGTCAGCTCAAGCTGATGGATAAATAACAAATCCATTCTCTCCCAGTCAAAGGTCTTTCAAGAAATTATCTTAAGAGCCAAACACTCATCATTAACAGCTCTTTCTGTACCACAGCAGGACTTCTGTTGCCTTTGTATAAACTATGCATCGTTTTAAGTATGTGCATAAGCAACTTATAATTTTGAGGTGTCTCTGAAAAGATTCCACAAGTATCAACAAAACGTTACATCTAATTTTTCACTCTCAGCTAGTAATTTAATACAGAATACAAAGTTACTGTTAAACAGCAAATAAGTGGCCCTTAACCTCCTCCTTCATTTTGTGCCCGTCAGACACATAATTTTAAAACCACCC